ACAATCGTAATATGGCAACCCGAATTTTAAAACCTGAATTTTAAAAATGTTGGGAAATTCAGATCTTCTTATTATAATTGCCCAATCCCAAGCGCAAACCCTCCTGCCGTCATTATAGCAAGCCTGAGATACTTTGCACTGATCACGGTATTCACCTCGGTATTCACAGTGTATTCGCGAGCGGCAAACCCGAGGAGTGGAAAATTGTCTTTTGTAACTTGGTTGCACAAAATCTTTGGAGACGATGTTCACTTTTTTGAATCATCAAGGAGCCGTACATATTTCTATACAAATTTATAAACTGTGTTTCCTCTCCATTATTACTAAATATCACGTTTTTACTAACAGACACTGGACATAGGCTTTGTAATGCAAAACGACTGAGGTTTAACCACGAACACATTATGTTTAAATATACAATTGCAAATTTAAAATTATAAAATTTTGTTTTTTGTGTTAATAAATTCAAAGGGCCGCTTTTGCTTTAATGTTTTATGTTGGCTCTGTTTACATATTTGCGAAAAATAAACAAATAATTACAAATACGAAACCGTTGAATGATTGGGTCCATAATTATTACAAAAAGCAGATCGATAATTGCCTAACGCAAATTAAACCTTGAGAGCACGCCGAACTATTTGATTTTGTCGTTATTTTTTTAGCGTAAGTGAAAGCCGCCGCAATTTGTTAGTTGCTAATTTGAACTCCTTCACTTTTACTTGTGCACCACTTAACCCCGAAAGCGTGTAATAGAGCGACATATGCACTTCAATCTGTAGGAAGTGACTCGCTTATTATTGTTTAATAATCAAACGAACTATCTTACAATAATGACATTTTTCATTGAACGTCTTTAGTGACCACGGTCATGGTTCCATTCATTAACGGAAAGAAGGAATCCATTGTGTTTATTTTCTTAACAGTTATTTAACTGCACGTTGAACGTTGAGATCCTCTATTACGGGAACAATAACATTATTAATTTTTTTACAGAAGATTACGCCAATTGTAGGTATTTCAGTCATTATTGCTTGGGAATGGTTCCAAGTTCAAGTTTGTAATTTTTCCTTGGCAGGTATAAAGATAGTTAAAGTTTCTCTCCTTTTATGTTCTGGACAATTTTGCTGCAATTGTTATCGTAAGTACTGCTGCCAGAATTATAATTAGATTATTTTATTTGCCCTTGCACTCCTTAACAACTACTTTCTTTGGATGAATGCGGATGTGTCTCCATGCGGACACCAATTACTTTTATTTTAAATTTTAAAACAATTAAACGTACAAAATCTTTACAAGAAAAACGACGACATTAATTACTGAATTAAATAAATTTGAACACATCTCAAAAGTGGGTGACAACCCAAGCATTAAACTGTAGAAATTCAAATTCAAGCAATCGATGAAACGCGACCTTCTGAAGAAATGCGAGGAACCTCAATTTCTTAACTTTCCCCTTCGGCAATAAATGTTTAAGTTATTATCGAGATTTATTAATACGTATTACTGATGACTTATAAAAATTAGGTTGCCATTGTAACTTTACTGATGATTGCCATGCTGATATGCCGTACATTCCTAGGCCTTTTACACAGGCGGTTCCTCGGCACATAATTTCCCGACGAGATAGATATATTAGTGGCTTTTTATTGTTGGAATTGGTTATAGTAAACACTGAAAAATCAACCCTTTGGAACCTTCGCGTGACACACTGCAAGACTTTCCCAGGCCTTAACTGCAATATCCTTATTTTCTTGATTGTGATGATAATTACTTCCCCACAATAGCCTCCCTTGCAATTAATTTTCAGATATATTTTTGTTACAGCTTGTACTAATTAAAGCATTCACAAATAATTATCGCTGTTTAGAATTTCGTCGTGGTTCCACGCCCTTCTTTTTCAGAACAATTTCTTTTGGTATTTAATTTCCTAAACATATGTTATTAATTTTTTGTTAGAATTTGTAAAGCAGGAAGTAGGTAAGGTAGATAAGCATGTGCTCCGCAACTTCCTCTTTCTCTCCACAAATTCTGCATTCCTTTTCTTCTTCTTTTCTCCACTTCTCCTTCCCTCTCTCCTCGTTTCCGCATCTAAACCTCGCTATTATCTTAATATTTTTCTCCCTCGCTTAAGTATTTCGACAGTCACTCCCGTATCAGCTCCTTGTACCTACTGCTTCCTCATGAGCTCAACCTCTGTTGCGGTACTTGTATTCTTTCCTAAGGCATTCAAGTTTAGACTCCAGGCGCTGCCAAAACTGGTCTTATTAAAGCGTATCCACATGTGACATAGAAGTGTCACTTATTTTGTGTATTAGTCGAACTAAACCTAAAATTGTATTGTAGGTATATTATGCCTTCTTTTATTGCATTAACTGTTAATATACACGTTAAACCCAGCATGTTTCAATTCAATTCAAGTAGAGAAAGAAGTAAACATAACCTTTTACTTAAATAAGGATCACATTTTTCAGTTTCGCCAACTTAAGAATGAGCAAATATAAGTAACATAACCTTAGAATTCTACGAAATGAAGTGACCTTTAAATTAAGATTGTTCAAAATTTCAAGCTTCTCCCGCCATTTTTATTAATTTCATGATCGTACCTGAGGAAGGGAGGGGGGCGTAATAACGTCACGTACCCACAATTAGGTTTAATAACGTCTGCTTCGAAAGAACGCCCCTATCGTCCCACTTACGCCGAAAATATCGCACGTATCGTAAAACACCCTCATCTCTTCGTTATCCCTTAACAGCGATAAAACAGTGCGTCAATTAATTGTCGCCTGATAAGACGCCTTGTCGCAAACGACCAGATGTTTCTTACTTTTCTAATACATAATCTTAATTAAATAAATTACAAAAGCGATTAAATTTAAACAAGAATTGCGATCTAACAAACACTGAAATACACATTCAAATAAAACAAACCAACTCTGTTCTTAATTCGCAAATAATGTTCCAGATTTACACTTAATAAATGGAAAAATTTCATATATAGAATGTTACGTCATTGTTTTTTGTGTTTAACCCAAAATACCGTCTGCATGACGTTGTTTACACAACAATATACACTATCGATCGTTCCCCCCTCTGCCTGAATCCCATTTGTGTTTCTCTTTTATTTCTTATTGTAACCTTTCATTTATTGTCATTGCGTATATTCTGTATGCCGTCTTTATTATCGTGATTCTGATTTCTGTATCATTTTCCATGTTATTTCATACTCTTTTGTAAATGAACACTATTACCCCGGCCTTCCAATTCCTCTCCTTTTCATATCTTGTTTGTTGCCTCATTTTTTTCTTGATACCATCTGTAGCAAAAAACCAAGCTTGCTTTCCCATTTAATATCTTAATAAATGGCTGCCCCCAGCCTCTTATTTGTATTTCATTCCTACTTGTCCTGTTTTTCCGTTTTCCTCTGGTTATCATCTTCCAAAAATTTGTCTCATCTGTTCACATTTCCCTGATTTGTTCTTCATATTCTTTCTATTTCCCTATCTAATTTTCAGTGCTTTTTTCTGTTCTCTCAACTCCTTTTCCTCTATTTCTCCTTTTCTTTCATTATTCTATCTGTTTCTTTCTCGTGTACAATCTCTGCCCCACCACGTCTTTCTATTATCTTCCCTTTCTCTTCATTTACCGGCCCTGCGTCTATGTTATCGTATTTTTAATACTATCCTTCATATCCTTCCACTCCTCTGTACTGTCTCTTATTTTTTCTTCTTGTTTTTCTAGTATCCTTTTATACGACCTTACCGTCTCTCTTTTTCACTCCCTTCGTCTTTGCATCTGTCTATATCTTGATCTTCTTAACTTCCCGTTTAGACTCATTTCCATTGGTTGGTGACCCGATTCTATAGATTGCCTGCCTTACTTAATTTGATTGAATTTAATTAATTATCGACTTCATGGCGCTGGCGTACTTTCCTAGGGCTCTTCCACAGATGTTTCCTTATCATTTAATTTCCTGGCGTAGGACTAAAGCATTTACAAATTAATCCCATTTGAAGTTAAAGGCTAAATGATAGGGACAATTGGAAGGATCGAGGCAGCCTTGGACACGGGCGGATCTGGGAGAAAACAGTTATCTGGAAACGGGGAGGGTGAAGCGACTTAAGCAAAACAGGGTCCTATCCTTTATTGAGAGGAGCAGGCTCTAAACTTGGTTGCGAAGGAAAGAGGGTAGGCACAATGGGTCTTTGGTTGTGCTGCCTGGTCGGATTCCTCTTATAAATAGAATAGAATAGACGATCCTCTATATAACTCGCTAGGTTTTCCTTAAAGCAGTGAAAACTTAGAGCTATTTCCACAGGTGTTTTTCAGCATGTTTGCAGAGTCAGGTCATTACCTGGGCTAGTAGAACCTTGAAAGCTCTGAAAAGCTCTGGAGATGGCATAATAATTTTGGAAAGCGCATACGGAGATTGAATCAGAATTTTTAGAGCACTTTGGCATTTTTCGAAACCTTTTACAGTAAATCGTTTTGGTATGACATTTACATGTGAAATTAAATAACAGCTTCAATAATTTCAATTGTATATTGTTTTGTAGTCGCCAAGCGTAGTAGAGTAGCAGCTTTTAATATACGGAAGAACGTTCATTGTCTAAAGATCGGTATTTAAGCGTAAGTGTTTCCATACAAAAACATGTGTATAAATTTATAACCTGTATAATTATGCAAATTACTGTCTTTATTGTCAAATAAATAAAAAACGTAACAATAAATATTAAATATGTGTAACCTGCAGGCGACACAGAATATTAAGAACAATGTATTTGTAACAACAATAGAAAATATACGTAATATTCTAGCCGCTGTCATTACGGTTGGCACACATAAAATAATTGGTCCTCAAATTAAGAACATATTTTAAAGCACACAACACAAATTATGGGCCGACTTGTTATTTTATGTAAAAATATCCCATTCAGTGCAAATTCAATTGGAATCGTTTAACCAATTTCAGCCGACCCCAAAAAAGGTAAATTTCTACTTACATCCAATTTCGTCAAAAAATCTCATTTTCGGTGGTGGATACACGTATTTCTTAACGTCGCTATCTGTAACAAAATTGACAAGAATTAAATACTTCCGTAAATTTAATTGTAATTGAGAGAACGTTCCTCTTATTGCCAAATAATTTAATATTAATTGACACATTGTTGTTACAATTTTACATAACGCTAATAATCAAAAGCGGAACGTTAGTTAAACTAAAAGGTTTGGTAATCGAATTTTACATAGAGAAATCGTGGTTTTTATCGTAAAATTCTTTATTGTTTCTCAACGTTTTCGTAGATGTTTACTACATTTCTTAGCTTGGCACGTCGATTAGCACTGCTAAAGCGGGTTGTTTCTGAATTCAGTTAAATTTTCGACACACAAAACACATCGGATCGATATCTAATTTCATCCGGCTGTGGAAAAAGAAAATTTGCAGATTTGTCCAAAATCTCTGTCCCTTTAGATTTCAAACGTTTAAACGATATGGAGAAGAATTTTTTGTTATAAGAAACCAGCTACTTTATGGCGGAAATATTTCGTACAATTACTACGCAAATCGACGACCCTCAGGCTGCAGTAGGCAGGGAAATAGGAAATGCAAAAGGAAAGCGGCACAATGCGGAATAAATTCGAAAAAGAATAAAAACAATTTAAAAACTCCTTTGGTGCGTACAATTTATTTTCAGATATGACAAAACGTCTGGTTTTCCATTACATATTAAATGACTTTAATCTCAAAACTCTTACATGATTGTAAATGAATGCGGGGAATGCTTGGGGTGGATTTTTTCGTAGGGGCGCGGTGTTTAGAAGAATGGAATGCCATTATTTTGGTATACAGAATTAAGTTTCATCAAGATTTAGTTTAATGAGTTAATTTTACATAATTTGTTCTGTTCGATCTCACCTTTCACGTAAATTCAAAATGATTTGCATAATTAAAAATCACTAATAAGAAAAATTCACTTGGAAGTTGGAGTGCTATATTCCAGCATTGAATAACGAACGATTCTAGTCATTTACATGCAGAGAAGTAGTAAAAGGTAGACAACCCATCTATCAACTCTGTGTTCCAGTCTTACATTTAATTAAACATTTCTTTAGCGATTGAAAATAACATAATCCAGGAGAAATATTCTTGTTCGAATTAATTTGAAATTTTTATTGGGTCTTGGAATATGTTGGTAAAATCTTCTGATCATGATCCTTTGTGAGAGAGTTTTCTGGGGAGATCTTAATCTAATACTGTAATGGATGAGCATTAGATATTGAGTGAGTACATTGAATAAGTAGGTACTTATTCAATGGTGAGTATTAATAATTTTGACACGAATTAAGGGAATCCTAAGCGAAAATTGTACTACATTTTGGCCTCCGGAATCCACACACTTGAATGGAGATAAATTTGAGTAAAAACCTGTTAATCTTGGTAAACCCCTGCAGAAGGTAATTTTTACAGTCCGTAAAAGAAAGAGAATCTTGCAGGAATTTTACTAGAATATTAAAATGATTCACCTCGAAATATTCGCCCTAGTAATTTAACCCTTACCATATTTGTCCCCAAAAAAACTCCCCCGTGGAAGAATTCGCCCCTGCAAGTTTTACCCTTCTCCATGGTATACATACACTGGATATTAAAATGACATTAGACAAATTTGTCATATACCTCGACAAATAAAAGAGATATATTGAGGTGACTTTCTTATCTCGGACGCAGTGTATATGTACCTACTTTAAAGTAACGTGCCAAATGATCTATTGTTGTAGGCACAAATTGCCAGAACACCTAATAAAAATTACCTTTAAGAGCACTCTCTACTAATTTAAATAAAATAAATTGGTGAAGTTGCATACCATGTACTTAACGACGGCACGTCTCACTAGATGAAAACTAATTCGTCATAAAAATGATCACAATGCGTGGGCACTTCCTATGTTCTTTAGCACGTGTCGCGGCGAATAAGAATAATAAAGAGAAAGGTTCCATTTTACTTTCAATACGGCATAAAAATGATTAATCTTAGGAGACGATTGTTTCATATGAAACTGATAGTATATACAAATGGAATTCCTTGTATATTGTTACCATCAGTAGGTATATACGATGCATTGTCACACATTATTATCTGTGTACACATATGCCTAAGAAGGAATATCTGGGGCCATTTGTACAGAATTGAAGTTGTGTACCGATGAAGATTCACGTCCGGAATATTCTTAGGGAATTTTTTGAAAGTACAATACACATTTTTACTACGATCATTTTTTAGCAAATGCATAATCGCCTTTTTCTTAAAGTATATAATATAATATAAATAATAAATTTTGACAATTGTAAGTACTAATCGAAGTACTAATGTACAGTAACAAAATGTGCCATTATAATACAATATTTATACAATTACTTACCGGCGTCACTAGAAATTGGTTGATAGGGGAGAGTTCAAATAGAAGTTTGGTATTTCAACAAAATTCTATGTAGATATTTCAAAGTATACAAATTTCAATACATTCGGCATTTTTTTTTACTGATTTCAGCTTTGTTGTTGCCGTTTCTTCACCTTATATTTTTATTGTCTGATTCAGTTCTCGGGGCGAAACCTGATAGTAAAAAAATCACCCCAAGAAGGTTCGCCCATGCAATATTTGTTCCTAGAGTATTCCCTACTGAAACATTCGCCCTCGGAAATGTATCCATCTGAAAGTTATATCGGGGAATATTCGCGCCCAAGAACAAGAAGACTCCTAGACAAGTCCGAATCTTGGGATCACATTTCTTAGGGAGAAGTATTCCAGGAATAATTCTCCAAGAGGATGTTTTCTACAATCCTTGGAACTAAACCGAGCGGAACTAAAATCAGCGCATTTATTACACACAAGAATACAAATTATGTTAATTATGGAGCGCTTTTGTTAACTAGAAATGCAGAGCTTTCCTGAAGTACAAAATCTCTAAATCGCCAAGGGATGGGGATAGGTTAAAAAGGGTTAATTCTAGAAACTCAAATACCCAAAGAAAGGGCACTCAACTTTGAGTGACTAACCGAGTATTGAAAAATACTTCCTTAATTTTGTTTGCCATCAGAGAAAAAGTAATTATCCTTTTTTTACGGAAATTAATTGATTAAGTATACAGAAATTAGTGAAAGGCGTACCTTTAATCTCATTGTCGGTAGCTCCAGTGAACACAATCGAAACAATAAAGATCACAACTCGTTCATAACAATGAAATTTCATTTTCAAATCACAAGTAGAGCACGCCCGGTATCGCACAAAAATTTAACACATTCCGAAACTATATCAGAAATCTTTAGCCAGAGACCATCAAGAACTGTGGTGAATATGAAGTAACGCACGACAAATACTAAAGTTTAGTTGCCTGGAGAAATTTTGATCTCAATTTTTAGACCAGTGGTCGTTTTAAACCATTTCTCCAATATGTCAAACTAAACGAGTCAGTTCAGGTACTTTCATATAATCAGAGCTTTAATTTAAAATCTATTAATTACTAAGTTTTAGAAATCAAAAGTTCTGTTACACAATACCCAAACGTGACTTCGGCTTTTTTATAGCGCAATTTACATACATATTATAAACTTCTATTCTTAAAACGATTTTCACCTTACTGATGATATCAACGTACTAAAGACTTGACCTGCATAGCTTTTCCTTTCGTCGAAAACAAGAAAAGTTGATCATTAAGCGGATATGGAAAAATACTTTTACTCGCTATGTTATTCGTTATAACAAATAGAAAGTGTTTTGTATCGTGACTCGTGGTAGAATCAAAGAAACATTTTAATTGAGACGAAATTGACAGTTTTTCAGTTAATTACTAATGATCATTCTTGCGTAGCGCCAGTCACAGCATCCCAATTCTCTTCATCAAAAGGCCAATTTTTTATTAAGAAAGTATAATCTAATTATTGAGTTCGTTATAAGACGACAAAGGAGCTTTTGGGGTGTTTGCAAAAAAAGCCAACTGCGACTTACCTAAAATCATCCAATTCATGTAGGTAATAAACGTTAAATAAAATAGTGTAAACCCGAATACCCGATGAAGTTGTTGCTGCGCTATTAGAACGCAAATTGCTAAAGTTTTAATCGTAATTATTACTCTTCCCTGTCCAAACCGAATTTAAATTGCAGTGATGACTTACTTTGATAAATTTATTGCTTCACAATAATTGCTAGTAGCGCAAAACTATTTTTTTGGAAGATATTGTGTACATTTGGCCGCAATGAAAAGGTAATTTTGTTCCTTGTGTTTGTTATGCGAAAAGGGAGCAAAAAAAGTTTTCACTTATTAAAAAGCACTACGAGTATGAATGTTAATATTGTATCCTGGGAAACCCCTAGTTTAAGAGCGCTGAGAACGCTTACACGGATCTTGTATCACTAAGTAGAGAAACCGACTTCTTTATTGGGGTCGTAAAACCTTCTTTGCTAAATTTTCCAGAACTTTACTACGGAAGCGAATATGTTTATCGATTCTTTTTCACTAACATATCAAGGTTTCAAATTTAGTTTCATATATCTAGGAATTGGAAAAAAAAAATAACCAACAGCGTATCAACCAATGGCAAGTGGCGTACTTGAACGAGTAGACCGAACCATAAGCATCAACAAATTTCAAACTAATTGGGACGAATGGTACCCGCATTTTACAATGGCCTATAATTTCACTTCCAGGTCTTTAAATCATTTAAACAATTCTTAAGATTGTTCGATTCCTTCAAATCCAACTACTTATATAAGCTCTTAAAAATAGATTTCGGGAATTCTCTCATTCCTTCTCTTTGATTCTTCACTTTCATCAGATTTTAAGTTCTCTAAACTATATAAATCTTTGACATTTATACACTCAATATGGAAACAATCAAATTGTAAACCAAAATAATGAAAATTGGATTCAATTTAATATTAACAATCATCTGTCTTTAATTGCTCATAAATTAAGATTTTTCCAGTACAATTAGTGTCTTACTTTTAAGATGTTCCAAAAAAAAACACCATCCAGATCCAATGGCCGAATAAGCCAAAGGCGAGTTCGTCACAAAATGAACGGATCTCGGCCATTCTATGCCCAATATTCATAACCATGAAGCCAAAATTCACTTACTGACCCTGAACCCATGTAAGCAATCTTTTAAGTACAATGTGTAGTGTAGTATTGCTGGTTGATGTTAGGTTGTTAAAAAGTTCTGTTTTAATTGAAGTGTTTTACAATGAATTTATCATTTTTTGTCGTAGCATGAAAGTGCTGAAATATAGGCGACGCACCTCGTGTGGATTGTATATATTTTGTTACTTTTAATTATCAGTTGCAATTTTAAAAAAAACTGTATGGTAATTGATTTTCGAGAAAGGAGTACTTTAAAATGTTTTTGTGGTGTAGGCAGGCAGTGTACCTTCCTTTTTTACCAAAATTCGACTACACCAAAATTTCTCGGGATTTCCGGGTCGATCTGAGACAATTTTTTTTTCGGGGCTCAAAAAAGGCAGTTTATAACCTTCCTTTTTTACGAAAAATCGACTACACCAAAATTTCTCGGGAAAACACTTTTTCTTATTAATTTGGGTGCGTAGAATCCAAATCAATTCGTACTTTTTCGATCAGACCTCTTAATCAAAAGTAATAGACTAGAAACCAATTTCGAAAAAAAATTCAAAGGGCTGTAACTTTTGAACTAGTAGCCCAATCTTGGAACTGTTTGAAGTTATGGATTCTACAGGCCACATTCTATAAGAAAATTTTTTCCCAGGGCGATCTGAGACAATGTTTTTTCGGGGCTCAAAAAAAGGCAGTGTATAACCAGGGGCGCACTGGCCCGGGGGGGCGGGTGGTGATTGCCACCTGGCCTGTAGATCATAATGGCCCGTTGAAAATTTATAAGTATGTGCTGTATTTAGTTTCTTGCACTATTAATAAATTATTAACACGTTTCTCTAATTGGGGTTGATGTTAGGTTGTTAAAAAATTCTGTTTTAATTGAAGAGTTTTACAATGAATTTATCATTTTTTGTCGTAGCATGAAAGTGCTGAAATAGAATGATAGGCGACGCACCTCGTGTGGATTGTATATTTTGTTACTTTTAATTATCAGCTGCAATTTAAAAAAAAACTGTATGGTAATTTATTTTCGAGAAAGGAGTACTTTAAAATGTTTTTGTGGTGCACCTCGGAGCTAACCCCCCCCCCCCCCCCCCATCATTACTACACTAATACTTTAATGGCCCGTAACTTATGCAATTCCACCTGGCCCGCAGTTACCCAGTCCGCCCCTGGGAATGCCAACATCGGGCAAGGTATCCTATCAAAACGGAAGTAATAGCAGCCTAAAAGAATTGAGGAATGGGAAGGCAGTAGGAGAATTTTCCCATAGATGTATTAAATGTCTACAAGAAAAAGGAGTTTGTAATAAAAATCTAGGAAAGGAGGCTGTCTCCAGAGGTCTTTCTCTGTTCAGAAATGGTGGTCCTACCTAAAAAGCAATGTTCAGAATATAGAACAATTATCCGAGTGACACACAGAGCAAAGATCTTATTGAAAATATTAAATGGAAGGCTTGGAACAAAGTTGTGAAGTAGAATATAGGGGAGGAATAGTTTGGTTTCAAGAGAGGAATGGCCACGAGAGATGGAATAGTGGTGAGAACGATCGGCGAAATATCCTTTTGTGTAGCTTTTGTTGACATGATTGTTTTTGCTGAGAGTATAGCCTAAGAATGAATAAGAACAAAACAAAAGTTACGAAAGTAGGAGTGTAGGAGTATAATAGTAATGGTAGAGGGAGTGGTGATGGAGCACGTGGAAAGATATAACTATTAGAATTGGAAGGAGAGAATTGGAGAGGAACGGTATGTTAATGATCATAAAACGATGAAAAATGAACTCGATTGTACATGTACTAAGGAAGAACCGTTTGATGAAGGAAGTAATCGAAGGAACTATTCAGGAAGAAGGGAAAAGAGGAAGAAGGAAATTGGTTGACGACCTAAAGGAGGGAGAAGAAAGATATGAAGAAGTAAAGAGAAGATCAGAGGATAGATAGTCGTGGTGAAAAGCCATCAGGGACTTACATTAGCAGAAAACTAATGACGATGATGATGTTCACTTGTCCCAATTACGAGGTGATATTTCATGACCGGCTCAATTCTTCATTTCCATAAAAGAAATTACCATTTTTCTATGCAATGGGTTAATTACAATACCAAGTTGACGCTCTGACAAAATGAATTCTTTTTAAATGTACACATGTACTTAAAATCGGTATTTATTTTTTTGGGACCCTCCATACCAAATTAGTCAAGTCCGGGATATCCGTTTCTATCCACCTTCATAAATTCGAAGAAGCAACTTTAAAACCTATTATGCTTTACTTAACTTGAAACCGTCACGACACTGTGATTGCGTCCCTTTTTTTGTATAAATTAACTCTTTGTGGTTTCCACTTCTGCTTTCTCTTAACATTCCTGTTACAAAGAGATGTGACTTAGGCCTTTCTTAAGGAAAGTATGTCATTGTAATAACCTTAACCTATCGGCAACTATGCATGTGTTTGTATGAGCAGAATCATTATGATAATTAATTTTGTTGCACTTTGCTTTCCTCGTGTATAAAAAACATTTCAACAATTACGTTGGTGAAACTTAATGAAAAGTAAAAGCTTGCATCACTGTAGAAATACTTTTGAGAAGTAATTAATACGTAATGAACGGATCTGTTTATATGGTTCTATAGGAACGCACGTTCCATTTTGTGATAATCAAGAGAGCCCACTATTCAATTCGTTCCGGATTTGATCATTGTATCCTAAGAAAAAAGCTTTACATTTGGTCATGTTAGCTTCAGTACTCAGTAGTGGCAGTTTGATAAATTTGTTTTGAGATTTCAGAGTCTCAGGGCATTTTTAATAGCCTACGTACGCAAACTAAATGATCAAATCTAAAATAAGCTCCCTGTCTATTTAGAATCAGAGAATGAGATTTATCGTAAAAACCGTCAAACCGTATTCCAGCAATTGTTGGATGCTGTGTGATGTTGAACATTTTCCTGCAAGATGAAAGGTTTGCCTTGTCATTCCAAATTAATGGAGAAACTCGTTTTTCTTTACCTTAACAAATTTAGTTGCTTTTTGTTTATTTTAATCCTCTGTGCCACATACTTGTATTTGTGTGTTTTTATATCTTTTATTATATTGTTTATATATAACAGATTGTTCATATATAATGGCCAACAGTAGACAGAGCATCGAGTTATTGAGAATATCATCAGATTATTTAATAATGAAACAAAAATGAAGTGGATAAAAAACTCATCTTACATGGAATGGGTTAGCATTTATTTATTAGATAAGTTTAACTGAAACATGCAAGACAGGTCCTAATTCTAACAATAGACCTAGGTACCCATTATTTTGCAGTAACTAAATGTTAAATACAAGGAAAATAGCTTATAAAGACTAACTAAAACCATTGCATAAAAACGCTTTTATTCAAAGCTCAAACTAAAAGGATTTACAATCAACATTTTATCCTTAATCCGTGTAAACATCTAATAATAGAAAACAATTTCAACTTTCACTGTGATG